TTAATTTTATTTTGCTGCTCCTGCCGCATTTCAATCTCCCTCCTTCTGTTAATGTGTTATATTTAATACAGAAAAGGCCACTTAGGAATATTCCAGTGTTATCCCAGTGCAATTACCATCCATGGCCAGCCCCAGAGTGGCACTGGGGGGTCCCTGGTGGTGCCAGGGCTGTTTCTAGGCGGGGACACATCCCCTGGCTCCAGCCAGGGCTGCTGAACGCTTGGCACTGGTGACGGATCTCCCGGGTCAGCTCAGGAGCAGGAGGGCCCTGCTCCAGAGAGGTGGTGGCCTTTGTCCCACGGATGCTGCTGGAGCTTCTCCCAAACGCCATCCTCAGTGTGAGCAGAGTGGGACTGGGGTGAGAGTGGGACTGGGGTGAGGAGAGTGGGACTGGGATGAGGGTGAGGGTGAGGGTGAGGATGAAGCTGAGGATGAGGATGAGGGCGAGGGTGAGGATGAGGATGAGGGTGAGGGTGAGGATGAGGATGAGGATGAGGATGAGGATGAGGATGAGGATGAGGATGAGGCTGAGGATGAGGGTGAGGATGAGGATGAGGATGAGGATGAGGCTGAGGGTGAGGATGAGGATGAGGATGCGTGCCCCTTGCCACACCAAGCCCCAGCAGCCACTGACAAGGGAGGGAGGTGATTTATTAGGCAAGGCGCAGGCTCAGTGCAGGAGGAAGAGGGTTTCCCATCCCTGCATCAGCTAGGTATTCCCCAGAAGGGCTTTCCCACTTATCCCATGGCATCCTGTTTTCCGGAGTCTTGGCTGAGAGCCCCTGGCAGCTCTGTTCCCCACACAGACAGCCGCTGATACAGGAGGCTTTCCTTCCACACTGCGCTGCCAATCCTCCCAAACCCTTTTGTTATCCTGGAGAATGTCTCACATGAAGAGGGACTGGGATTTGTAGGACACCTCCAGGTCCTCCAGAGGTGACCTGGAATGGCTCAGGCAGGTGTGATCTGCAGCTCTGCTCTACCGAACCCATCTGTCCTTTGCAGGAGGTGCTGCAATACCGTGGTGACAAGCAGCGAGCGCCGTGCCTGCCGGAGCACCGAGGTGCCTCTGGTGTCTGCCAGGTCCCTGTAGCTGCAGGGCCAGCAGCCCCAGCCTGCACGGGAACAGGCCTGGGGGGCAGGATGTCCTGCGGCGTCCGGCAGTGGGGCCGCAGCAAGGAGTGACCGGGGACGGGTGGAGGAGCTGTGCTGCACACTGTCCCTGCTCAGGATGGAGCTGTGCTGCACACTGTCCCTGCTCAGCCCCTGTCCCTGCTCAGGATGGAGCTGTGCTGCACACTGTCCCTGCTCAGCCCCTGTCCCTGCTCAGGATGGAGCTGTGCTGCACACTGTCATTCCTCAGCCCCTGTCTCTGCTCCTCCAGGGTTACCTGTCTGAAGGCTTGGTGACGAAGTGGTACCGCTCCCCCCGTCTCCTCCTGTCGCCCAACAACTACACCAAAGCCATCGACATGTGGGCAGCGGGCTGCATCCTGGCCGAGATGCTGACTGGGAGGATGCTCTTTGCCGGTAGGTTTCTGTCTCCTGTTGTTTCCCTTTTTCCCTCCCTCCTCCCCTGCTAGCCAATTCCGAGGCTTTCTAGCCCAGCAGAGGGAGTTCCCCCGTGTAAGGAGAGGAGATAATGGTGCTCTGTTCCAGGAGGTTTGTACTCTCTGCCGTGGATTTGAATTGTGCTCGGTGTCTTCCAGCTGTTTCTGTTCTTTGAGGGGAGACATTTGAACACCCAATTTTAGGATTTACCTGTAAGCACGAGCTGCAGCTGCAAAGGTGAAGTGCAAGAAAAGACGACAACAAAAAGCACAGCAAGGAGTTACCAATGCAGCATTTGATGCTCAGCTCTGATGTTCTTGAGAAGAAAAAATGTGTTTAATAAGTTCCCAAAAATGCTGTGCCAGGAGCCAAGCTGAGCCTCCTGAGCTGGGACACGGAGCCATTCGTGGGGGGGCTCTGCCTGTTACAGGAGCTGCTCCCCTTCCTGGGGTGTGCAGCAGAGCTCCATGGCCTGCCAGTGCTCTGAATGACAAGGTTTAGTGTGTTTTGTGAGCAGCTGTTGGCAGAGCTGTGTAAATAAATAACCAGGACCGTTAATAATGGAGGAGGACGTTTCCTTCACACGTAGCACACCGCAGAGCTCCACAGACCTGGCTGCAGCTGCTCTGACGCCCCCTCCCCACTCCTGCTTGCAGCTTCTGTATTTCTTTTGTGAAAGCTTAAAAATAAGCAGTCAGTACCATTGTGAAGCGATCTTTAAAATTGCCACCCCTTCCTTCCTTCTCTTTGTCCTCAATTTCACCAAAACTTTCCAGTCCAGGGATTTCAGCTTTGAAAATTGTGCATTGAACCTGTCTGCTCCTGATGTTTCCTTGGGTTATGTTCTAGGAGCAGGGGTGCCACTTGTCCCTGCAGGTGTGGGGCCTTCATCGCTGGGAGATGCTGCAGTCTCCATTCCCCTGCACTCATTCCTCACATCAACCAGCAAAACGGGAGTTGCTTGCCGAGATCCTCCCCCAGCCACCCCAGCACAGCACCCAAGCATTCCTGGCCTTTCAAACTGTGCTTGAGCCCTCTCTCAGCCCAGCCTGGGGCTTCTTTTCGCTCTCTGTGGGTCCCACGGTGTGAGCCATGCTGGCTGGCAGCCCCGAGGTGTCTGAGGTGGTGCTTTAAGCTCATTTTGTGGCTATGCAGAGGCAGAAGTAGCCCCAGGGTGGGGTTCATCTGTCCCCTGCCTGGGTGAGATGCCCCAGAGCAGACACGCAGGAGCCTCCCCAGGCTGGTTCTCCACAGCAGGCAGAGATCAGAGGTGAGATTTGGCACTCACGGGCTGGGCTCTGCCAGACACACGCTGCGAGCATCCCTTCTTCTCCACCCTCCAGCCCAGTGAAATCACTTAATAACTCCCCAGGTGCTGGCAGGATGCTTGGTTAATGGGTGGGGATCAAAACCAAGCTCCAAATATCAACTCCTTTTGGGTGGCTTTGAAACTGCATCATTGTCATGGGAGGTTCTGGCCCCCTGCCCCGTTTTCCTGGCCTCCCCCTGTGCCAGCAGGCGGAGCAGGGCCAGGGCAGGAGCCCGGCAGCAGGCAGGGTGCCCGAGCTGTCTTTCACCTGCTGCTGCCCAGAGAGGAGCAGAATAAAGGAGCTGCTCCCCTCAGAGCAGCTAAAACTCACAGCAGCAGCTAAAATCCACGCACAGCGACGTGGATTCGCCTTTTCTGCTGCCGTTCTCCCCTTGGCTGGGCTGGAGGAGCTCGCCCCAGGCAGCTGCAGCCCCGTCCCTCCCTGCAGGACGGGTTTCACGGAGCCCCGTGGGAAAGAGCAGCAGTGTGGTTCGGGGAGAGCTGCAGCCCTGCAGCAAGCACCTTGCCCGGGGTGAGTGTCTCCTCCAGCGTGCGTCAGCGGCGCAGTTCAGACCGAGTGCTTAGCATAAATCAATATCATTAACTCGGGACTCTGTCCCGGCTGCTCTGTGGATTCAGGGTTGGTTGTTAGGAGTCGCTCTCTGCTTCCATTCTCCCGCACAAATTGTGGGATGTGCAGCAGAAACGGACCCCAGCCCCTCCCAGAGGCCCTTCCCCGTGGGGCAGAGCGGATCTGGGTCCGGCAGAGCCCCGGGAGGCCACAGCAGATGGCTGTCCCAAAGCTGACAGCAGCTCAGCACTGCTGCAGCTGCCGGAATCCGGCTCGCAGACCTTCGGGGAGCTCCCCAGCAGCAGCAGCAGCAGCAGCAGCAGCACAGGGAACGGGGAGGAGAGCCCATGCCTGAGCAGCCACAGCTCCCTCCAGTGTCTTTCCCACCGAGAGCAGCATCAGTGGAAGCAGGAGTAAATGGGGGAAAGCAGTAAAAAAGGAGAAAAGGTCTGTCCTTGCAGATCTCCGTGGGGCTGACCAGTGGGGCTGTGACCAAGGGCTAGCACAGGGGCTTTTCCCGTGGGATCAGGGCTTGGTGCCTTCCTGGGACTTGGCTGAAGCCTGGAGAAGGTTCTCTTTTAGAGACATGGTGCAGAGCTCCTCGTTCTCTCCCTGGGTGACAACAGCATGCTGCGTTTATCCTGTCTGTGGTTCGTGTTTTCCTTTTCAGGAGGTAATACCTTCAGAAAAAAAGGTCCCTGGGAATTCCATAAATAGAGGATAATGGAAGAGAATGGGGATTCTTGAGAGCCATAATTCAGGGCTCCCAGCCCTGCTGCATTAGCAGCTCCTTTGTGTGACTGAACACGCTATCTTCTGCCTGCCAGGTTTCTTCAGCCAGCCGTGGCTGGAGCTGCGCTGAGGGAAAAGCTATAAAGCCTTTGTGACTTTTATCACCCTGTAATTTTGATCACAGCTTGGGAATTATCCTGACTAACAAGGTGTTCATTTCCTGGTAGATATCTTTAGTTTCCCCTGGAGTCACGCTGTGAAGCTCTGAGTGACCTAAAATTAGTTTTTCTCTGGGGAAGTGAATTAATTTGCCCAGGGTTGGTACAGGAAGGGCGTCCTTCCCTTTGTCTTATCCCAGGGCGTTGATCCTGACCCCTGAGAGGGGGGAACCCCCGGGATTCCCAGGACCCCGGTGGGGTGTGCTGGGGCTGGAGGGGTGGGATGGCCAGGATAGGGGTTTGGGGATCCTGGTGCTGGCAGTGGCTGCTCCCAGCATGAGCCCAGTTGCTCCCCCTGTGTGGTTCCAGTTTCCCCAGCACCTCAGGATGAGCCCAGTCACTCCCAGTCATTCCCTGTTAGGGTACAATTTGCCTCCAGCACAGTCCCAGTTTCTCCCAGTTCCTCCCACTTTGGCCCAGTGTGTGTTCCCAGCTGCCCCCAGTACAGTCCCAGTCACTCCCAATATGATGCCAGTATTTTCCAGCAGGGCCCCAGTCACTCACACTTGCTCCCAGTTGCCCCCAGCGTGGTCCCAGTTCCCCCCAGCACATTCCCAGTGGCTCCCAGTAGGGTCCCATTGATCTGGGTGTGACCAGCTGGGCTGGTGTCAGCCTTGCCCTGGGGCTGTCCAGGTGCACTGCCAGAGAAGGCAGCTCCCCAGCACCCATGATTGTCCCTCCCCTTGTCCCAGGGGGTCAGCTCCATGGGTGTGGGTCTGGAGAGCTGGTGCTGGCCCAGCTCTGGGCTGTGGACACCAGGACCCCCACAGGAGCAGGGATGCCCCAGGGCCAGCGGTCTCCATCCCCTGTGAGGTGGCCTCTCCACGCTCCCTGCTGGCCGGTCAGAAGTGCTGGGCCGTAAATGAGGCTGACTCTTCTTGTCGTGGATCAGTCCTTGGTGATCAGGGCTGCTCACCCTTGAGGCAGCCTGAAATCCATGGCTGGGACAGCAGGGACTCGGTAGCCCAAAAATCCCCGTTGTTTCGGCTGCCCCCAGCCGCTCCCTGCCCCAAAGGCTGGTCCTGCCTCTGAGGACAGAGCGTTTCTAACCAGCCCTCCTGGCCAGCAGAACATCACTGGTGTGACTCTGAGTTCCTGCCAGCTCCTCTCTGCACACGTGGGAGGCTGGCAGTCCACCACGGAGCTCCCGGTCACATCCAGGAGAGTGCTGAGGAGTGGGATTAGCGCTCGTTAACGAGGGGCTCTGCTGCTCCTCTCCTCTCACTGACAGGCAGCCGGCCCTGAGCGGGGGTTTGGGTTCTGTGGACAAATATGTCCTGAAGGAAAAGAATTAAAAACCTGTAATGGCACACAGCCACTGAGGGATTGGCACCACCAGAGCCATGACTTAGTGCCCTTAGTGGAAAACACCTTTCCTCTTGGGGCCGGACACCTGCATTCCTTTAAAGATGGAGTTTGGGGACCCCTGGGGCTGACAGCACCACACTCCCACCCCAAGTTATCCTGGGTATCTCACCTCAGTGCCTGTCTTCTTCCCGCTCAGGGGGCCACGAGCTGGAGCAGATGCAGCTGATCCTGGAGACAATCCCTGTGATCCACCAGGAGGACAAGGAGGAGCTGCTGAAGGTGATGCCCATGTTCATCAACAGCACCTGGGAGGTGCGGAAGCCGCTGCGCAAGCTGCTGCCCGAGGTGGACAGCGAAGGTACCGTGGTGGCCGCTGGCTTGGCGCGGCTTCTCCCGGCTGCCGTGTCCTCAGAGCCGCTCCCTGGGAGTCCAGAAGGACCTGGGCGCTGCAGGAGGGGCTGTAGATCCCTGGGGGTGTGCGGCAGGTGGTCCCAGCTGTAGCTCAGGTGTCCCCACTGCTGTCCCCTCACAGGTGGCCTGTCCCCGGGCCCTGCTGCAGGGCAGCACTCGCGGTGCTGTGGCTTGCTCACAGGTAGCTCCCAAGGGCGAAATTCTCTTCCAAGGCCCTTTAGAGGTTTATCCCTGCTTCCCCTGTGTCTCCCCGAGCTGTGAGCGGGGGTTCAGCCCAGAGTTTCTCCTCCAGCCCCGTTTGTTGCCTCGCTGTGCTTGCGGTGTGAACACGGCTGTGCAGTACAGCACTCCTTCTCCTTCACGAGCATCCCAGCTTGGGATGGTCGTGACAGACAGGAGCACTGACCAGCTGCTCTCCTGAGCTCCTCCTGAGGGTTAAACTGGCCACCTGCGTTTGGCAAGACGTTGAGACCAGGCTCAGCTGCTGTCTGCTGGTCTTGGCAGCACGATATCCATCAGCTCGGGTACCCAGGGGCCGTGTGGGCCTCCAGCAAGCAGGAGCCGATTTATTCCCTGCCATGGCTGCGGGAAGAAAGGTCACCCACACCCCTCAGATAATTCACTGTCATTTTCCTGCCCTTGTGACCTGCAGCACATCACAAATCACACCTGTAAGGTGTTGTTCTGCCACGCTCCCTGCCTGCAGCCGGCAGCCGTGCGGGGCTGTTGATTCCGTCCCATTTAATTAGTCTGAGTGACGAGGTGATCTCGGCAGGGAGACAGAGGGAAATTGGCTAGTCTGAGCAGCACGTGTGGCCATCCTGTCTGCTGAGGGGCTCTGCAGAAACTGCCCTGTTCACACAATTTCATGGGGATGTTCCTGAAGGTTTCAGTACGAAGCCGTATTGAAGGAAGGCATTATTCCTGTTTTTATTGCCTGAACTCATAGTGACTTTCCCATGAAAGGATCAGCTGGATAAGCAACAACTTCAGTGGCAGGATCTTACCTTCTCACATAACCTCAGTTAAAGGATTCATCAAAGCCATCACAGCAAACCCTCTACGTATAGGTTTAATTGCCCTTAAATTTCCTGTCATCATAGATAGAGTTCAAGCACCACAGTTTCCTGAAATTATTTTAGCTACTCAGAATTCTTTGAATATTAATGGGTAGGATAATTTTATAGCATTGGTCACGCCAAAGGCTTCTGAAAATTGCAGTAAATCTAATCTGCTTCAGTTGCACCTAAGATGTGAAATCAGTTGTCTGAAACGCAGTGAGCTTGTTGGATGGACCTGAGGGTGTGGAGTCAAATCCCAGCACTGCCCAAAGCTCCTTTTGGGGTGAGATCTCTGCCCTGTGCAGCACACAGCTGGGGGTGTGACACATGTCACACCTCACACCTGTCCTGCACAGGTGTGAGGATGTTGCTCTCCTCTGCCCTGCCCTGCCCATCCCTGCCCTGCCCTGCCCTGCCCATCACTGCCCTGCCCCGCCCAG